TAATAGTAGTGGTTAGGAAAAACCTACTTGCGATCTCTCTCCGCATCTCCCGACTCCAACACACTGCGAAGAACTTCCATTTTCTTCCCATATTCCTTCAACTCTCTCTGGGCATAGTTCACTATGGTGTTCACACCGTACAATTTACGCAGTTCACGAGATCGCATCTCCTGTTCAATATCCTCCAGCCGTAGTGGACTAGGCTTAAAGGCAGAGAGACGACTACTCTTCACTTCACTCTCTCCACCACTATTACTAACAACCGGAGCATTATTAACATTATTATTATTCATACCACCACCTCCTCCTCCTCCTCTTCCTCCTCTTTCTTTTGATCGTAGTGGAGATACAGTCCCTTGCGGTCTTCGCTCTGAAGAAGCGTTACTACAGCCACTACCAATCTTTCCTACCGTCGCACCACCACCATCTTCATTCTCACCCTCCATTTCTTTCAGGTGTAAAGGAATAGAACGAATATAAAGGTTTGAAACTGCTACTCTTTCACTTAATCGCCTTTGAGGCCAATCAGGAGTTTCATGTGTTTCTACTTTTGTTAGTTGATTCCCTGCATACATGTATTGTGAGGGTGATTGAAAGGAATTCACTCCGGAATCTAATTTATATCTCTCGTTAGGTACAGTTGATGGAATGAGTGATGGTGGTTTTGAAGTCTCTGTAGAGTTTCCCTGTTCAATACTTTCCCACTCTAACTTCTGAGATTCCACCTTTAATGGTACTTTTGATGATGTTTGTGAAATGGCTACTGGAATAGTATCACGAGAAACCCTACTACTACTATCGGATGAAACTTGACTACGTAATATTTGGGTATTCTTATTAGGCGGTTTGCTAATACTATTCTGCTGTCCATTTCGTCTTGCTATTCCATTATCCCCATTATCCATATCTGTAGTATTTGTCTTTTTTATCTCTTTCTTTATGTGTACATCCGTTGGACCTCGCTCCATACGACTCTTCTCATTCTTATGATGTTGTTGATGAGATCCATGTCGACTTCTACTATCTTTATTATCTTTATTATTGTTATTATTATTGTTGTATACCCCACTTAATCCACCCGCACGCACAGTCGTCTCCACTGCGGCGAGTTGACATAATAAATATGAGAAGAGAACACCAAATCCCTGCAGTTCAAACATGTGTTTTGCCAATACGGGTTGCTGCTGCAGCGACTCCTCCCATTGTTGAGGGAAATCCACACCACTCTTCACACCATCCACAAAGAGTCCAACAACCGCATTTGCAAACCATTCCAACATCTTTCCTAATTCCGAGTGGGTGGCGGCGGCAACAAAACTACCCAACACCCGTAAATGAGAGGGAGAACCCTGAGAGACAAGAAAACTGCTCGTCCGTGCACAGATAGAGTTCACACCAAAGAGTGGTGGTTGACATTTTTGCTTTTCCAAAAAACTCATGGTACTAGTGGTACTGGTGTTTTTTTTCTCTAAACTGGATAGAATGCCTTTCAATTTTTCTGTTGATATAGAGTCTGGAAGAGCAGATTGTGAAAGGACAATATTTTCCACTCTCTCTGTGAGAGAACGTTGTCTCAGTGCTTTTTGCATCTCACTAATGTGTCGTCGTAGAAAAGGCTATTCAAATCCCAAAGTATAAAAGAAAGAAAAAAGAAAAAAAAAACAACTACTTTAGTAATTGTTCATCAATAATAACTCAGAATAATAATAATAATAATAATAATAATAATAATAATAATAATAATAAAAGAATATCGTTTTTTTTTTTTTTCTTTTCCTGTTCATTCACCATTTGGTAAACCAAATGAAAACAGATTATAATTGAGGAAGATGTTGACTGAATTACATACACGAAAGAAAAACAAAATAATGAAAAAAAAAAAAAAACTTCTACATAGGCACCCGCCTTGCAGCAGGAACAACAAATGGTTTATTTCCATGAAGAGCTTGCATCCCCTTGGCATTCACACACCGCTCTAACTCTGCTGATTCCGTATTATACAAAGGAGTAAAGTCTTCTACACATGAATGTTGAACTACATTGCCTACTACAGTGCTTTCTTTTCCTAGAGAAGTATTTGCAATCGGTGGGAGAAAACTACATCCTTCCACATGACTACGATTCCAGGCACCACGTTGAGCTCCAAAACGCATGAAATGACTTCCCTTTTTGGAATCATTCATTTCATCATCATTCTCTACGACTTCTTGAGAACTTTTCATCATAACAGCAGCAGCATCTTCTTTGGTTGTATTAAGAGATGCGGAAACTCCTTCTTGCGCAATCTTTGAAGTGCTTTTCAAATTTTCTTTTACACTTTTTAAGAGTTCTGGTCGACGTGCTGCAGATGAAAAACGCCTTATATCATCTTCTACATTCGTTCCATAAACCGTCTTTACGGCGGATGCACTCATAGGTGGGCGATAAATACCACTTACACTCACTGTAGAGACCATGTGATGTAATTTCTCTGCAGCCTCCTTATATAGTTTCTCCTCTTTTTTCGCCCGCACTAAAGATTTTTGCTGTAATTGATCTTCCAGTAATTTCGTAGCCATATCTCGCACATCCTCAGAGAGTTTAAGGGTCTCTCTAATATATCGTTTACGTGCATAAAAGTTATCCACATAGCAACGTACATAATATCCACGAAAACAGGCTTGTATACGGGCCGCATAATATTCATATACCGCCCTCTCATGTGCCTCATCCGCTTCATTCCGTATTCGCATCACATGTTTCCGCTCTATATGTCCACGGTAAACACGTTGTACACAAATCACAGCATTTCGGATATCACAATATACACGACGAACACGCCACATACGATATGTGGATTGTATCTTAAGAGCCGCATCTAATTCCGTTTCTTGCTTAGCAGAGGCCTCCGTCATGGATTCCAAGACAGAAGAGACAATTTGAGGACGAAACGAAAAGAAAATAACTCCAAGATCCATTTCCTTTTATTTCCCTGTTAGTTCAATATAAAACTAAATTATACTAAAAAGAAAAAAAACAATAGAAAACAAGTTTACAAAAACATGCACACAAATAATAATAAAAAAAAAAAACACTCCAAACAAGAACAACACAAGAAATCAACAAAAAAAAGGAAAAAAAGTAAAGGAATATAAGAGCAAAAGTACACACATTGGGGCGTCTAATCAGCATGCCGTCTGAAATCAAGTGCAGAGCAGAGGTATTTCTACCAGTGCCCGCGTTATCATAAGGGAGTACGTCTCACAGCATTAATAAAGTTTCATCATACACGCACACGCAACGAACAAACACAAAGGAAGGAAGGGGTGGAAAGCACAAATGGCAGTACGTGTTCAGAGAATGGATTAACTATTGATCCTGTCATTGAGTCGTATGTCTCACCAATGAATAATAAAATAGTATTGTCTTTCATCGCCACACGCAGCCATCATGCCGGAGCTCACGCATCTGGGCACCGTTAGGTCCACACAGGAGACCGAGTATGTACACTCGCCGGTGGGATTGTTCGTTAGTGCCTGTTAAATCAAGAGGAAAATACCGATAATAGCGGAGAAATTAGAGGAATATAAGAGCAAAAGTACACACATTGGGGCGTCTAATCAGCATGCCGTCTGAAATCAAGTGCAGAGCAGAGGCATTTCTACCAGTGCCCGCGTTATCATAAGGGAGTACGTCTCACAGCATTAATATAGTTTCATCATACACGCACACGCAACGAACAAACACAGAGGAAGGAAGGGGTGGAAGGCACAAATGGCAGTACGTGTTCAGAGAATGGATTAACTATTGATCCTGTCATTGAGTCGTATGTCTCACCAATGAATAATAAAATAGTATTGTCTTTCATCGCCACACGCAGCCATCATGCCGGAGCTCACGCATCTGGGCACCGTTAGGTCCACACAGGAGACCGAGTATGTACACTCGCCGGTGGGATTGTTCGTTAGTGCCTTAAGCAGAATGGTGTTTATGCTGATATTATACTAACATTTCTATTGTTTTTACAATAAGTAAGGGAAAAAAACAGCCGATGATATTTTTTATTATGTTAGCAAAAGATAAAATTAAAAAATTACACTGCGCAGATACTACTCTCTCACACATATAAATTTTTGTTAACAAGTGAGATCCTCTTGTTTTTTTTTCTTGTTTTTTTTTTTTACGGTAAGTTTCGTGTTGTAACCATATCAGCAGGTAGATGGCCCGCAGAACCAAGACACGATAAACTCACATGACCTTTGCCGTTAATAGTGATGCTAGTAATACTACAGTGAGGAAGAGAAATACGTAACCACGCCTCAGGTGGCAGTTGTAAGGCGCGACATACGAGATAACGAATAACATTTGCATGTCCAACAATTATTTCCACTGAAGACTCATCCGATATTGGACGATGAAAATATTTTTCAAAGACTCCTTCCACCACTTTCATATCTTTGTAAGAAGCATGACGATGTTTGCGTGGAGGTTCCGGATCACAGGGGAACAACTCACGCAATGTAGCATCAGTTGCCAGTCGTTTGTGAAGACGAGAGGGAAAAGACTTTAAAATTAATTTGGCCGTTTGTTGAGCACGTGTCATATCTGATACATGCACATACTTCGGCTCCGACGCAACAAGAAACCCTCCCATATGATTTGCACTGTTCATCTCTATAGAAACACTATTTTTACTTTCGGAATTAACTTCGGTAGACTTATACATGGTATCACTTTCCACACCATCACGTCGGATACCACTCTGAATAAACGCTTTCCATAAATAATCACCAGTTATTTTAGATTGCTCCTCCCCCAAAGGTGTTAACGTACGTATGCGGTCGTCTTTCGAGTCTTCATTTTGATATTGACCATGACGTACCAATATAATCTGTCGCTTAACAGATCGACTTCTGTCCCCACGAATTCCTCTTATACCAGGACGATCCCAATCCTCTACCCAAGAAACACCCCATGTCTTCACATACTCCAATTCCTCTTTCGTAGGGGTTGGTAGATCGTCAAGCGAATGGTTAATTAAACCATCTGGTGATATACCTCTCAACTTACCTGCATCACAAAATACAGTAGAAAACGAAGAGGCACCGAAACCTAGGCAAGCACCGAAAAATATTCTGCTAAACATGAAGAATAATCCCTAGCAAAGAACAAAAAAGAATAAAAAAAAACAATAATAACAAAAGCAAAAAAAAAAAAAAAAAAAAAAAAAAAAACACAAGAAAAAGAACAAAAATAAAAATAATATAAAAAATACAAAAAAAAACACACAAAAATAAACACACAAAAAAAAGGTGGGGAGAGTGCGATCAGACTGGGGCGACAATTTTTCTTGCTCATGGGGACATCAAAGTCTGTGATGTTGTGTCATGGTCATCATGTCGTACAGGTAATGCGGGTAT